GGCTAAAGAAAGTTAAGGATTGAAGGGCAACAATAAGGGAAACTTCATTCTTACTGTAGTGAGATGTGATAGCTACAAAACTGGGGGACTGAGGATGCTCCCATCCACAAAAGCAAGGCTGCCTTTGCATGGCTTTAGATAGCTGAAAGTAAAGAGAGATTTTTGTAGAGCAGAGAAAGTGATGAAACATTTGTAAGCAGCTCTTGCTTTTCAGAGAAACACGCTGCCCAGCAGCTGAAGGTCTGGGCTAGATGCGTCCCCTCCAGGGACAAAACCTGTTCCCCTCTGCAGACTTAGTGTCTCCTTCTTATTTTCCAGTAAACAACTACATGGAGTCCAAGTGTGAAACCGTGCTTCGGGAAATGGAGAAGTGCTGTGCCTCGTACCCCAAGGGCAGATCCATCTGTTGTTCAGGGTTTGAGAAGGAAAAAAGGGAGAGAGAAAAGTTTAAAGCAACTTCAGAAGGAATTCCCCCACCACCACAGTAACACAATGCAGCTCCAGCAGGTGCCAGAGCACAGACTCACCTGCAGAGCTTTTGTGTGTTTTTTCAAGCCTTCTTTAGACTTTCAGGAAAGCCAGATTGCTGCTAAAACACACGATTGGCACACCAAAAAGTATAGCGCAGTACCAACAGATGGCCTGGTTAACAGACTTTATTTTCTGTACCAAAACATCATCCACATTGTCTTTGCATTGCACCTGTGTCTGTGAAAAGTCAATTTGATGTTTTTAGAATGCTTACCTTACTCTAATCCATCCTTGCTCTCAAAATGGAGAACTGGAACCAAGTTATTCTGGCTTCTGGAGCAAGAGGTACAGGAAGCGAGCTCAGAAGAGTGAATGAGTTTAAGCGTGACACATGAAACAAGCCCATCTTGAAACAAAAGAGGTATTTCTACCATCATGCAGTAGTTCCAGACAACATTTGCCTGTCCAGTGGTTCAAGCTCAAGAATGGGAATCAGGTCTGGGGATCGTTTCTAGGTCTTGCGTAGATCACGAGTGACCACAAGTCACTTTGCCGAAGTGCCTCACTTTCCCACTGGACAGATTTTTTGTTACTTTATATTTGAATTGCCTACACGCTGCTATTTGCATGACAAAGATATTACAAGAACATTATTTCAGGGATTGCTACAGGAACAAGATTTTTTTTTTTTTAAGCAATATTAATTTGAAAGATCTGACTGTTGATATAAAATTTATAAATTTATGTATAATTGAACACCTTTAAGCAATATGTTACGAACCCAGCATAGTTCAACCCACTGGTACCAGAGCCCTGTCACAAAGCCCTGGGCTAGATCCAAGAACTGATTTAGGTGCTGCTTACTGAACAAGCAGTTGTAGACACTTGCTTTCAACGCAGCATTCCAGACTCACTCACAAGCTGGCTGTGTCCAAATCCCAGGGAGAGATGGCTTTTCAGAAGCTCACTCATGCAGCAGAATTTCCTGTGACCTGTAGGAAGAGCTCGGTAAACAGGTTCTCGCATCACCCTTCAGAGCTGCCTAAGTCTCTCCATCTACTGTAGCAGGAGTCCAGGCACCTCAGTGGGTGCCAAGTCCATTACAGGGCCTAGGCACCTAAATATCAGACTTCGAACCCACTAGGCCACTAACTCTGTCATTAGATCTAGCTGTTAAGGAGTTTTGTGCTGTGATCAAGTACAACTTATGAAATACAGCTTCTGTAAACAGACCACTGTAGTCTAGGCACAATAGTTGAGCGTATTGAAGCCTAGAAGAGCAAACCATATGTATTCACTGCTCTAAAATACCATGACACAAAATAAATGACTGGAACAAATTGTAGTCTGAGTTTGGTTGTTTATTGAGAATACAACATAGCTGCAAGCCAGGCAGCTTGGCTGCCTGGTCCAGTCCAGAGCTACATGTGATACCATCATGTTTAAATAGAAGCTGATTGATATTTTTCTAACTGGGGCTCAAGATCAGAATAATTCAGGGCTAGCCTTAGCCTTCCCTTCCCAGCCCTCTCCCTCCCCCCAAAAAAAAACCCTTATGACAAAATAGGGGTTTTAATAACCTTGAAAAGTAGGGGAAAGTGATGACAATGTTGTGAAGCAGCTCAAACACTTAGGTAGCTCATTTCTCTCTTTGCCCTACCTCAGCAGGGGCAGTGAAAAGTCACTAATAGATGATAAAAATAAATATTTAGGCTTCTGTTGCACCTTATAAAAAGAAAAGCCTTGTCTCCATGCCCATTTGTAGTCAGGTGGAGCAAACTTGCAGGAAGGCTCTGAAACCAGGCTGGCAGCAGAATCACCTCCTGCCCCAGAAGCATCCCACCTTTTGGGAACATGGGTGATTCAAGCCAGGATCATCAAGGAGAGGGGTCTATTAAGGCAGCCCATGGTTACCTGCAAAGAGGGAAGGCTGGTGGCCTCATGCTACCAGACTGGCAGTAACTGTTCCTGTGAGTCAAACACTACATGCAGGGTAAGACAAAACCACACTGGTTCCCAAGACATCAACAGACCTCACGCATAGAGGCTATTAGAGCAAAACTGTTTAATAAAATACTGCTTCAATAAGCATTTACGTACAACATATAAAAACATTTTAAAAGCCTAGTGTGTTTTAAACATTCTCATACTGGAACAGATGCCAGAAGTTGTTGAAACAAGACCAAATGGAGCAGGGGTGGGTAGGGAACACTTCATCTTGCCACCTGCAACAATGAAAATGCATCCCCACAGAGGTTAGTTCAGCATCAAAGCTTCCAGAGTGGGCCCACAGCATCAAATGGTGCCAGCCAGGAGCCTGACACTGGCACAGCAGAAAGATTTACCAGATCCATTCTCTGCCTGCATTCACATCAAACTCAAGATGAGTATGTCACCTGTTGCCCCTTCCAGCAACAACTGAGACGTTTTAGCTCCCTCTCTGCGCCATTTCTCTCCACAGCAGTAAGTCAGGATCCTGTGGAGCAGAACCCTTCCCTAGAGTTGGGCAGAAATAGTGACTTACTTGAGCCTGAAAAACATCCCTAAGGTCTGTTAATCACTTTGAGCTTTGTCATTGGAGAAAGCTTTGTAGAGATTAGTGCATCACAGAAGTTGTGTTATGTAGCACACCACGCAGAGGGGCAGCAATGCTGTTTTCCTACAGGAACAAGAGATACCCTGCAATACACATTTATCAATTCATGCACGTTCAGCCCTACAGGGTTCCTACCAAAAAAACCCCAAAACCCTCCAAACCCACCATCATCATCTGTCACTCCACCCGCAAACACCAATTTACTGAAGACCTATTTGCTGCATCGCATCACTCTTGCGGTCCTGGATGGCTTTTAGGAATACTGTCATTAAAAGGATGTGAGCCCAGCTGCTCCTTCATTCTCCTTGGCCATGTATGGCAGGACAGCAGCAAAGGTACCAACTTCTATTTCCTGATTACCTGCAGCCTCTTTTCAGATCCTGAAGGTGAGAAAGCCTCAGCTAAATCAATGTGTTTCTACACTGACACTTCAATCAACAGAGCTGAAAAAAATTACCAACTGCAAGTGCTCATCCCAAAACCTCTGGTGGAAGAACCCACCATTCCAGCTCTTCCAGAAGCTTTCGGGGGAAGATCTCCATTTCTAGCCATACTGAGACCAGCAGCAGATGATCAGAAAGGCATTACACAGCACTGCAGATGAGGTGCAGCCGCTGAGCCAGGTGCTGCATCCTGATGACCCATGCACATCATCATTCCCTAGGATGTTTCCCATTGAAGGATGGGCTTTCACATAAAAAAACCATTCTTGGCAAGAACTCCTACATGTACCTGCTGGAGGACATCAGCCCACCGTCATGCAAGTTCCCACACTCTGGAAAGCAGTAATGCCAGCCCAGCACAGCCAAAACACTTCTAAGGGATTTATTTATTTTTTTTCTAATTTTCTCTTGTAGTTCTGCTTGGCGTTCTCTTGGACTTCTGCTCTGCACACACCTGCACTGGGACAGACTGTCCAAAAACAGCTTAGCTCTGCATCTGGGCTGCCTCATCCGCAGGAGAAGGGCTACAGCTGATGGAATTAAGCAAGCAGCTTCTTTTGTGGAAATGTAAATGCAAAGAAGGATGGAACATAACCAAGGCAGAAAGCATGATAATGAGCCACTCTTACAAGAGCACAACCTGGGTTTCCCAATAGTTTTGTCATTTCAGTTGCTTGCACAGACCAGGGAGACAGAGTTTGTGCTCTGCAGAGACAGGTAAAGGACTGCGCTCCAGATGTCACATCCTCCCCTGCCACCACTCCAGCAGAGGTGGCAACAGGGACCTTGGGCTAGTACAATGTACCCTAAACGGGGATGCATTTCCTGTCTACAATCCTGTCCCACATGGTTACAGCTCTAAGAGCATCGCCAATGCCAAAGTGGCCAGAGAAGGTCATGATAGACCTAGAAACTCCAGTCTGAGGCCCATGGTGATTTACAGTAAGTGGCATAGCTGAAATGCACACTGCCTGCACCAGCTAGCCTGACAAAGAGAGATCAAGTATGCTGGAAGTCTGCCCACCACAAAAGAATGCCTCAGCACATTTCAAAGGCTGAGCAGTCAGCCAGCAAGTGAGAAAGGTGCTCTACAGTGCAAGAAGCTTGGTGACTTTCAGAACACATGACAAGGAAAGGGCCTTGAGAGTCACCCACAGTGCTCAGTTTCCATGAGCAGTGCCAGTGCTGCAATTCCAGCAAGGGGTATAAATAACAGCAGAGGAGAAGCCAAACAGCCATCTATGTGCAGTGCAATGGCAGGGGGAAGGCAGGAAAACCCTCAGCACCACATATAGCATGAACTTGCTCCTTATCCACTCACCCTGGACACAGCCCAGGCTGTCCCTTGACACTTCTGCATCCACCCCAGGACAGCCAAGCACATTTTGGATTGCACACACCATCTCTGCGCAGAAGGAAGCACAGGCTTTCCAAGTACCTGGGCAGAAAATGTGCAAGCTAAATGGTGCTGAACAGCTGACAGCTGTTGTACACATATAGTGGCAGACAAATGTACATGTAACAGCCCTGAGCACCTGAGAAGCGCATTTAAGAGATTTCTCTGCCACTACATGTTTATGAGGCTGCAACTCATCAGAAAATTTGGGACTTGGGTTTATTTGGTGGGAAAAGGAATCACAATGATACACCAGGAGTCATAAGCTTTCAGACTGATCCCAGCACCCTAACAGCCCAGAAGGAGGAAAAGTTGGAAATCAGAAGCAGCGTTGTGAGAAATAAGGGCTGGAACCTGTGAGCAGAAGGAACTGAGCCTGCCGGCAACATCCTTTGCCCTCTAAGTGAGAGAGAACAGCAGCAGAGGAGGGCAAGGGAGGCTGGGCATGAAGGGAGAGTCAAGCGCAGTTTCTAGGATGCCATTCCAAGCAGGAATCCTCCAGCAAACCCTCCAGTCAGGATAACATTCTTCTTCAGAAATATGATCACCTAAGCAGGGGAGAGAAGAACCAATGGTGTTCAACAACAGGAGGTCACCAACACACTCTCCCTGTAAGACATCCCTCAGGCTGTTCTCCAAGGTGAGTGATGCTTGGAGAGAGGTCACTGCTCAGGTCTGGGAAAGTATCCTATCAAATGACCTCCCCTCCCTAATCTCCCCGCTGCACGTACAGCTCCTGAATTGATCCAGTCCCACTGCAGTCCAGATCCTCCGAGAGCTGTAGTCCGAGCCTATATGCTCCGGGGCTCTCTCACAACCAGTACAGTTAATCTGACAGAAGGGGCTGCTGACTGTGTGTGCCAGACCAGGATACAGCAGAGTCCAGGGTAACTAGGCAACTCTGCCCCCAGGTCTACTTAGCTTTTCTTGTCAGACTGAAGAGACACTTCTCCCCACAACCCCAGCATGTTTTCTCACAACCCCAAGGAATTTGCAGCAACACATGGCAAGGTAGTGTCATGCCTAGAAACCACCTTGTTTCTGTCTCAAATATGCACAGATAGCTTTACCATCTCTCCAGTTTTGCTGTCATGCAAGCGTTCCCTCCTTGTATTTGCACAATGGAAGCTCCATAAGAGCCCAGGAGTCAATCCCATTTTCTGCTGTCCCTCCAGCTAAGCACCCGCACATGACCTGGGAGTGTTGTCTCACCTCATCCACTCTGCTTTTCACTTCTGGAGACATTTTGTTACCACTGCTGTGAAGTTTCAGCTGCTGCTTGGCTTTGTTCATGTCCCGTTCTACTAGCTTCCAGTCCACTTTGATGTATCCTGTGTGGTTTGCAATCTAGAGTTTTGAGGGTGGAAAGAAAGTTCCTGGAGTAAAGTCCTGCATGACCACAACTAAACAGACCTTCTTGCCCACCCACCTTCCCTGACCACAGCCACCTCCCACACACTGGTCCAGTGGGCTAAGATGAGCACAGTAGCTTAAAAATTGGACAAAGGACCACCCCTGTAGCTGTATTAGCTGTCCTACAACAACTGTCTCACAGTAATCCCCTAACAGCAGGGCACACACTGTGGCTTAGACTGTTTCGGCCTCTATTGTAAAGCTGGCATCACCTCCCCCTCACAACTGTCAGGTATATCGTTGGGACTCTGCAGCTCTGCTACTGCTGTGGATGGATACAGCTATTAATAGCCTGTTCAGGCTGATTCAGCAGTGAAACTCTCCCTGCTCAGAGCAAGCTTTTAGCTTTCAGCAGAACAAGCAGAGCCAGAAGAGCAGGGAAAACAAGTCACACATTAGACAGCTCCTGAGAAGCAAAGAAATAAGACTGCTGAGCGAGGCCCAAGAGCTGTTCTGTCTCCTACAGGATGTTCGAGCTAGATGTCCACATGTGAGCAGCTCCCCTCAGTGCCAGGGTTCTTGAAAACCAGGAGAAATGTTTGAGGACAGAGAGAGATCTCTTTCTCTCCTCTTCCTCAATGCTTTCCAGAGAGCCCCATCTGTGCTGGCCTGACTCCTCAGGTAGCCAGGTTGACAGGAAGCATATCACAAACATGGACAAATCCCTCTTGACATCTAGGGCTGTTCTTCCAGGGACACCATCTCCACAGGCACAGGATAGTTCTGACCAGACAGTCCTGCAGCAGCAGCGCAGTTTGCCGCAGCAAAAGGCTGCCACCTGCTTCACTCGGGTCCCCCTGCAGTAATAGCTCCCACTTGCTTTTGGCCTGGCCTTTGTTGGCAGACCCTAAGCGGATGGTACCTTTTGGCAGTCCTTAAGTTTATGCACACTGATCCTGCTTTGCTGCTACACTATGTACCCCAGGGAACCATGCCCTTGACAGGCACAGCCACACAGAGCTCCCGGCAGAGTGGGGAACCAGCCCCACACATCCCAACAGGTAATGATCGCTAGACAGCCCTTCGTCCCCAACAGCATAGTTCTCAGAAAGCCTGACCCACTGTTCATACACACCTGAAGTAGGAAAAAGCCACCTCCCACTGCTGTCGCTGCCAGCTTTCCAACTTTCTGGAAGATGAATCCAGTACACCTACAAATCAAACAGGATCCAGTCAGGAGAATGAGATACCAAACACACACTCTTCAACATGCTTCCCACAGGCAAGGCTGCCTTTGGTAGTAATTACCCAAGACTCAGAGACAGCCTGACAAACAGCAGAAGAAACCCACCTGGCAACCAGAGAGAAAGAGAAAGGATTTGCACCCAGCCAAAAGTGATGTTTTGTAGCTTTTTACTTCTCACTATCGCATTTCAGCCTTTTACAGTTTTGATTCTTATCTCTTCAACGTCAAACTCCCAAAGAGTAATCAGAAACACATGATTTGATCAAAATCAACAACTTACGTTAGCTTGCTTTTTTTTTTTTCAACTGGTATCATCTCTGAAGGGAAATTAGGCAGCACATCTGCTGCTGCTCTATGACAGAGAGAGCATGGGGAGCAGATCACAAGGCAAGCTTCTTTGTTGGACAAACAACTGCTTACTTTTCATTTCTCCGAAGAGAAAAATGGTGAAACAAGCAAACAGCAGTGGTCTAAAGCTATACTAGTCTCCAAACTGAGTTACACACTGTCAACATGAAAGACATCACTGCAGCCACCAAAACTCAAGCAAGCACTACCTCATTGCTCAGTCATGCAGCAAAGGGCTAGCGTATTGTATCACCCAAAGCAGACTTTACTTCGACCAGTTTCCTTATCAACACTGCAAAACAACACAGGAACCTGCTCTTACCCATTTCTGAATACATACACTTAGTGAAGATACAAGAGAGAGGTGGCCAGCTCATATTTTATCAGAAAATTAAGATCTGTCATACACTTTTAAATAGTTACCCCTGTGCCAGATGAAGACGACAGGCACAGCAAGCAGCAAAGCAGTGTGATTACATCAAGTTTTCAACTCAAACTATGCTGCTGTGGGAATGAAGTTGCAAATAGAGCCACAAGCCACCCCAGCACTTGCTACAAGTGACACAAAAAATCAGGAACCATGCCCACAGGTGCAATATGGCACCACCACAGGAGGTTTCTGTGCAGATGCTTGAAGCGCATCCATCTCCAGGGAAGAAGGGATCCTTGTTCCACGAGGATCATATTTGCCTGTCAACACCACCGTTTTATGACAGATGTTAAAGAGAATTATCTCACCTCAAAAAGTAAGGCCTGATGCCATTTTCTTCCCTAGGAGATAATCTCAGTTCTTCAGCTCCGCATTAGAGACCACTTTTAAGACCTCTCATGGTTCAGTAGAGCATGCCAGAGCATAGTCGGCTGAGCAAGCTGGATACCTGACTTCTTTGAAGGGCTGCCAAATGACCACCCTGCACCTGACAGTGTGTTCCCAAAAGCCCAGCAGCATCCTGGCTACCATGAACAGCAATAGCAACCCCAGCATATCTTACCATCCCGTGACCCCTCCAATCACCAGCTGCGTGGCCACATTGTATTTCTCAGCACTCGACCCTGAGCTGGAGGAGAAGACCTTGCGCCACCAGGGACGGTTCTTGGTGTACTCTGCCAGGTCCAGCACGTTGAACGAGTCCTCCTTCACACCTGCAGGCATCTGGAGAGGCTCAGTGCCAGGACTGCTGTCCCACAGCCCCCTACCAGCTGCTCAGGGCCACCCGAGAGACACAGGACCCCCGCCCAGTTAAATAACGCACGAGGCCTGGCACCTTCCCTGTGCCTTTGGGAACCTCCAGGCCCCAAGTCCTCCCCAGAGGGCCTCAGACAAGCCCCTGGACCCCTGAGACCCCGTCCCTGGGACTCCTCACCCCTCTCGGTGCTCCCGCAGGTCATGGCCCTGAGGAAGGGGCGCGGGCTGAGAAGCCCTGCCCCGCGGGACCCGCCCTCAGAGTGTCCTGCGGCGGTTCAGGCCCTCAGGCAGTGCAATGGCCTGGTACCGGCCGCCGCGCG